CCACCGAAACTAGCGAGCTCCTAGTCATTTCTTCGCTGTCACTGTCACCTGAAGCTGGTGATGTCGGAGGGGCAGGCGGAAGGTTGAGACTTGCCACGATGACTAAGAATGCAGAGCCGTGGGAGTCTGGTTAATCAGCAGCGTCAAAACTTCCTGTGGCTGTTTGCAAACAAGGGCCACCCCCAGAGGCGAGGACCAGAGTCAGGTGGTGGGGGGGGGGGGGTGGAGACCTCGGGGCTGCCGCAGAACCTGGGCGAGCGATGCCTGCCGGCAGTGCCAAGGGACTGACTGGGTGGTCCGGAGCTGTGGCTGCAGAGCACACGGCTTCCCTTACCTGGAGGCTGATCTGTGTCTCTCCCCCCCCCCGCCCCCCACCCCCAGGAATGGAAAGCTGACTGCAGATCCCAGAGCCTCTTGAGGGATTCTCTTTCCAGGAGTGACGGACTGACTTACTGTAAGAAGCCACAGAGAAGTGCCCGGCTGGTGTCAGAACAGGGATAACCTTAGTAACACTAAGGGTCACCTGAAGGGAAACTTCCAGGGTTGTGGGATGGCCCGAGACCCACGTGGGCAGGTGTCTGGGGGCCAAAAAGCAGGCAGGGAGAGGGTGCACTGACTCAGTGCTCCCAGCCCCACCCGACCCAGCCCAGCAGACAGCAACACTGGCAAACAAAGCAGACACTCCTCCCCTCTTGACAGCCATCATTCAGACATCTTTTTATATGTCTCATGCTGCACAGGGGAACCAGCCGGGGCCGGAATCTCAGATCCAGGAGAAAAACTGTAAATTAGCGTAAGGAATAGTTCTCGTCAGAATTGCTACCAACGACAGCGTAAAGTGTAAATTTGGTACGGCCCCTTCTGATGGCAATCTGGCAACATGTTTAGAATGTGTAAAAAAATGCTCAGATTCTTTATTCAGAAAGCGTTTATGAAATTAACAACACCCCTTCCCCTGGGAATGAACAGGCTGCGTGTAGGGAGATGTCAACAGCAAGGCTGTTTATGCAAGTGAACATTTGGGAGCTACTCACATATCTGACCTCACAGAATGATCAGCTCAGTTGGGGCACAGCCATTCAGGGAATATTATGCAGTCATTTAAAATGATTGTTCTTGGGGCGCCTGGGTGGCGCAGTCGGTTAAGCGTCCGACTTCAGCTCAGGTCACGATCTTGTGGTCCGTGAGTTCTAGCCCCGCGTCAGGCTCTGGGCTGATGGCTCAGAGCCTGGAGCCTGCTTCCGATTCTGTGTCTCCTTCTCTCTCTGCCCCTCCCCCCTTCATGCTCTGTCTCTCTCTGTCTCAAAAATAAATAAACGTTTAAAAAAAAATTAAAAAAAATAAATAAAATGATTGTTCTCTCCAGGTGTCTGGCTGGCTCAATCGGTAGAGCATGTGACCCTTGATCTTGGTGTGGTGAGTTTGATCCCTACATCGGGTGTAGAGATTACTTTAAAAAAAGAAAGAAGGGGGGCGCCTGGGTGGCGCAGTTAAGCGTCTGACTTCAGCTCAGGTCACGATCTTGCGGTCCGTGAGTTCGAGCCCCGCATCAGGCTCTGGGCTGATGGCTCAGAGCCTGGAGCCTGCCTCCGATTCTGTGTCTCCTTCTCTCTCTGCCCCTCCCCCCTTCATGCTCTGTCTCTCTCTGTCTCAAAAATAAATAAACGTTAAAAAATTAAAAAAAAAAAAGAAAGAAGGAAAGAAAAGGAAAATGATTATTCTTTCCAGTCATTTTTACTGAGCACTGGGCGTGTCCCCAGATACTGGGATCTCAAAGTTGATCGGGACCTGGCTTTATCCTCAGTCTGGGGCATGCAGTTCAGAAAAGAGCAGGACATAGTAGAAACAAATAACTCGGAAAATGCTTATTATATGATTTTAAGTGAGAAAAGGCGAAGCAGAAAATTGCATTCACGCTTTACCTCCCCCTATACCTGAGCTAGTGTTTGTGGATTACTGAACACGTGCCAGATGCAGGCACATGTTTACCTCTTACAACGATCCACAGGGTTAGGTATCAGGGCTACTTCCGTTGTCACAGGAAGAAACTGAGGCACAGAGGAAGTGATTGAGCCAGGGTTCAAACCCAGGACTACCTGACCCCTAAACCCAGGTTCAACCATTTTCCTACACGTCTCTCCTTAATAGGGAAATAATGTCTGCTCAAGGTCAAATACTGAAAATAAAACCTGGGCCAATAAGATAAGGGTGGTGGGATCTGTTTTTTTTTCTTTTTTCTTTTTTTTTTTTCCTTTCACTCTTGATTTCTACCACATTTGTGCTGGGAAAAAAAAAAATGAAGTTAAAAAAATGTCAGCCACCTAGAATTTGCAGCAGATGGGTAAAAATGAATGGAGAAGCTGAAAAAAAAGTGGGAACGATGTTAATAATGCATGCCTTGGCTTCGAACAAGGAGCTAGAATGATTTAGGAGCAAGAAGCGAAGCAGGGTCAGGGGTTGGTGGGGGTGGCGGGGAACGTTTGGGTGAGGAAGACCAGGCAGCTTCTGGATGGCGGGCAGGCAGGATGCGCAGACTCAGGGAGGAGGGGCAGGGGCAGGGGCAGGGCTGATCTCTCATGGCCATTCTTGTTAAATCTTTTTATTACCTGGTGCATGAGTACATATCTTCTCAGTGTTTGCATTCCTCTCATTTTTTTTACTACAGGAAATGATAACGGAAAAAAAAAACCCTCTGTTTGCTTATCACCCTGGAGTGCCAGGAGAGGTATCTGCCAAATTTTTTCTCAGGTCAGGAAGAGGTTTCAGTTTTCCCTCACCTGAGAGCCCAAGGAAGCACTGCTGGGTCCAATCTCCCTGGCAAATGCAGAAAGGTAGTCACTGTCTAGACATTCTAGGGCAAGGTGGTTTTATTGAGGGAAGAGTTGCTTGGTTCCCTGCAGAGACTTTTGTAAATAGGAGAACTGTTTCCTCTGTTAATACAGCTTTTAGAAAGAAGGCACCCTTGGGCAGGGATGGGGGAGTGGGCGGTGCACAGAGGGAGCTGGAAGGGAGAGGAGAAAGAAAGGTACCAATTGTTCAAGTGTCTATTGAGCACCTAGTGCCTAGAGCTTAGTGTGTAGCAGATGAGAACGACGGGAACTTATAGACCAGCCAAGGGTTGTCCAAGCCCCCACCCTTTCATGTCCACTGAGGAGCGTGGCTTCCTGAAAGCTGGCAGGTGTGAGCCAAGAACCGAGCCCTCCCTTCCCCCCACCCCCACCCCCCAATATGCTCAGAGGTTAAGGTGCCAAGTCCTGCAGCTGGGAGTCAAACTCATGATTGCAGGGCTGGGTTCAGAACCCATGGGATCCTCCATGGGATTCCTCCCCAGCTCTTTCTGCACTGTCCATAACAAACTCTTTCAGGAGCATTGGAACATGTGGCTTCAAAACAGTGGCTAATTGGGTCAGGACTGCTTAAATATTTGACTCCTAACTCTAGAATGTTGCTCTTCAACTTCAAGAAACTGTTACCCAGAATCGTGCAAGGATATATACTTTTCATAACTGCAGGGTGCTCCTTATTGACCACATTGAAATAATTGTTTAAGGATTTATCTCTTATCTCCTTTTGATAAGAATTATCATTAACTTACACAAGAAGAAAGTCTGTTTGCAAATGCTTTAAAGTACCTGTTCTTTCCCTCTGAATTATATGTAATCTGTTTATGTAGTCAACGAAAATTTACGTGATACCAGGCACTGTAGGGGTTTTCCTTGGATCAAGTCAGGAAAGGGCCCTGCCCTTCCAGAGCAGTGTAGACAAAAGAGGCCATTATAATCCAGTGTAGTGGTGTGGTGGGGGGATGGGCAGTCAGGAGATATACTGCCTGGGAGGGTCAAAGAGCGTGACCTCTAAGCTTGAAGGACTTGAACAAGCAGGAGTCAGCCAGGTGGGTGGAGGCAGGTGGGAGTCGGTGGAAGGAGAGAGGCCTTCCCCGCAGGGAGAACAGCATTGCAAAGGCCTGGAGGTAATTGAATCTCAAGGTCAATCATTAAAACTGGAAAATCATGTACATCTTAGGTGTGCTTTATTCTAGCTTACTGTGAGAACCAGATCAAACCCAATCCATGTTATTCCCCCTCTTTACTTCCCTCTGGGTGTAGAAGTCTTGGGCTCCTGGCTACGTCTCAGACACAGACCTGAGAGTGAAGGAGTTTCAGGCTCTTTGAACACAGAGATGGTGCTGCCGTCCCCCGGCTGGAGGGCAGGGTGGATACGAATATGGATCTGCTGTATTTTGCCTACTGCGTCTTGTGTGGCCCTTCCTATGTTTCTATATTTCTGCCAGAAGGTGGGCAGGAGGTCAAGGCCGAAGGCTGAACCGAAAAGTCCTCACTCCTGGGTTCAGGACCTCAGCATTGGGATGGCCAGGTTTCTGGCAAATCTCTACCTTCCCTGTGGCCAGGAGAGAGTTAGCAGCCTCCATATCAAGGCATCAGTGAAGTTTCTGGCACAGAAATGACCTTGAAGTCATTGGTATGTAGTTCTTGGTGACATTTTATATTTTAAACTAAATTCCAGCAATCATAAAGCAATTTGCTTTTACATTTCAAGTCAGAGTTTTGTGAGCATTCCAAAAATGTGTCCATCTAATACCTCAATTTTCTTTTTTCTTTGATGCTTTGATCTTAATAAACTCTTGCATCTGATATCTGAAACTCATTACATATCAAAGTATTATTTGTGTGTACTATGTATTATACATACACACATACCTATGTGTGTAAGGTACATTTATCCTATGAGCTCTGTCACACACTGGGTTTGTGAATGAACTATTAGAGGCTCAGTTTCCTCTCCTGAAAACTGGGGATATAATGGTGTCCACTTCCTAGGGTGGTCAGGGTTAAATGGGATCTTGTTTATAAAGAGCTTAGCCCAGTGCCTGGCACAGTGTTAGCTTTGGATAAATGGTAGCTATTATGTGCATAAAAAAAAAAAAAAAAAAAAAAAAAGACTACTAAAATGTTGGCAGCACTTATCTCCAGGGGGTGGGATTATGGTTACAATGAACATTTATTACTTTTGCAATCAGAGAAAACGAACAATAAATGTTATTATTAATTTAAAAATCTGTCTTTGGCTTTGTCGGAAGGAACCTGCAGTTAATGTCACTGTACCAGCCTGCAAGTAAGACAAGGCCTCCAGTTTCATATGAGGACTTTAAAGACAAACAACCTTGTTCAGTCGAGTAATAGAGACTGTAGCAAAGGGAGATACTTAGTCAGGATTCTAGAGAAATGCTGCCCTCATCCAACCCTGCAGTCCCCCTGACCACTCTTGTCTAGAGAGCAGGCAGGGGGTTCAGAGAAGGTAATTCTCAAATTACAGCCTTCTCTCCTATTGGGAGGTTATCTGGGGTTCTTAGTTGGAAATCTGTAACTCTCCAAGGAACCATTCCAGGAGATGACATTTATCCTCTTCTGGGCCTTTACTTGGGTGTCTCAGAAAATAAAACACACATTAGCCCACTTCCAGTAGGGGGATTGTGAGTGTCCTATTCTGGCATCCAGAACAATCTGAGGCCCAGGACCTTGGCTATGTTTCCGGCTGAGATTCTTGACTGCCAGCCCAGTGCCTGGAGCGGCAGGAGATAGAACTCTCCTTGATCTGAATGCCCCACTCCAATCCCTCTTTGCACCTCTTGGGCCATGACCTGAGAAGCAGGAAAGAGCCAAGTTGCCCACCCTTTGCCGATTATCTGCAGAACCATCAGCCTGCACTGGGCTGGTTTCTGAGCTTCTTTCTCCTCCTTCTGCACCCTGGAGGGAGAACACTGCTGCAGACTCTGGAGTAAAATGCCGCCTCTGTTTGGGAGACAAAGAACAGAATAGCTCCTCTGGGTCAGCTGTCTCTCCTTGGCTCGCCGGCTCCCTGGCCTCCCCTGTGCTTCTTCTGAGACATAAGGAGGGACTTCTGGGCTACCCTGGGAGCCGCTGCCTGCTCCTGAGTGGTTGCATTCTGGACGTGTTTTCACTGGAGCTCAAAGGAATATTTTACTTTGAAAAATCTTAAGCACTGGAAGACGTTAATTTGGGGGTGGTGCTGTGGCTGGGGAGGCAACTGGCATGTGTATCCTTACTAGAACTAGTGAGAGCATGTGTGCATAAACAGGAGTGGTAACGTGTGACACGCATGCGTACCCATGCATGCTAACCCGAGTGTGAGAAGTGTGTATGAAAGCGTGGACTCAGGTTTAAAAGGATGTGTATGTTACAGAGTTAGAGAACGTATGTGAGCAGGAAGGAGATATGTGCACTAAGGAGCAAGCAGACCGTTTGTGGGAAGGCATGAGTCTGAGCGCCAGACCATAACGTGAGTGGGTGTGTAAAGTGGCTAAGAATGTGGAAGTGTACACATGTACCATCTAGAGTGTGTGAGAGCATGTGTGAAAGCGTGTGTGTTAGAATGTCAAGAAACGTGCTCGTGTATGGGAGTTTGTGAAGGGCAGCATGGGAGAAGCCTAAGTGTGAGTAGTAACGAGTGTGTGCGAAAGTTCCGTACGAGGGTTAGCAGATGTGCGCGTGTCGGAGTGGAAGTTTGCCTGCAAAAGCACGTATGTAGGACTAGCGTGGGGACGTGTGTGAGAATTGAATGTGTGCGTGTGTGCGGACTAGAGCATGTGTGAAGGCATGTGTGAGGGAGGTGTGTACTGGCTTACGAGGGCCCATACACGAAAGCACAAGCACGTATGACGCTCCGTGTGCACCAATGTGTGCCGGGGGTGGGGGACCCCGGGGCCGGGCGGGAACATCCGGGCGGAGCTGAGAGGCAGCCGCCGAGTGGGCGGCCGCGCGTGTGAATGTGAGCACGCGCGGGAGAGTGAGCGGGAGCGCGCGCGCGCGCGCGCCGCCGACCCCCGCCTGGGAAAGAGCCGGTTGCCATGGGAACGCGCCGCGGCCCGAGTTAATCATTTCCTGTGGAAAGTGTGCGGGAGGGGCGGGAGCGGGGCGGGCCGAGGAGGCGGCGGCGTGGAGCTGCCTCCCGCCGGCGGGCCGGGTCGGGCCGAGCCCCGGGCTCTGCGGCGACGCCGGGATCCTGCCTCCGCCAGGCCGGTGAGTCGGGGACCCTGGCGGGCGGGGGGCGGGCTGGGCTCTCGGGGTCCGCCGGGTCCGCTATTCCGCGCGCCGCGTCCGGGCCCGCCTTGCCCGCAGGACCCCCTCCCCTGCCCGGACCCGCTGCGGGGCGCGGGGAAGGCCGGGTGCCGGAGAACCAGCCCTGCGCAGTCGCCAGCCGCCCCCCGCGCCGTCCGGCCGGAGCCGAGGACCTTGCCCACAGCACGGCCTGGGGAAGCACGGCCCTTGGGGTCCGAGCAGCCTCGGGACCCCCCCCCCCCCGCCTCCGCCCTTCCAATCTCTTTGGCCCAGGAGAGCCGGAACCTACCGCGGGAACCGCGTGTCCCGTCCGCGCACCCCCCTCCCTTTACAGAGATCCTCCTGTACCCCCAAGGATTTCTTGAAGGCTACAGTTTCCAGTCCTCCCACCATGTACGTTCCCTGGGCAGTTCGCTTTCCCCCTGGAAGGGCAGGGGGAGGGCAGGCCAGCACTGAGGCCAGTGCCCTCCTGGGCAGTAGGGAATTGAGCCACTGACAGCAGCAGCCTAGGGGATCCCAGTAGGGAGAGCAAGCCAGAAGCCACCTCCTTCAACCCCCTGTTGTGAGTTAGAGCAGAACTCTGGCGCAGTGAAGGGCCTGGTCCTGGAAGATTTTAAAGAGGAAGCTGTATTTAAATTCTCAAGTACTCCCCCAGTCCCCAACGTATCTGTCTCAAGGTTGTGGGTCAGCTGTCCCTGACCTTTCACCTTCCCCAGCCCTGAGGCTGAGTGAGCACCTCTCCTTGCCCAGGCACACTCCCCATGCCCTTGATAAAGTAGCTGTCTCCTTGGCCAGAGAGAGTCATTTGCAAGGAATGCAGCCTCAGAATGGGGCTGTATTTGCAGTGACTGGACTTTAGGGACATAGGGTGATGAGTTCTGCTGTCCTTATGGAGCTGAGGTTTTGAAGTCTGTGTTGTCCTGGAAAACCCAGGACCTGTGACTGTGTGCAGGGGAGGGCCCAGCCTCTGTCCAACCTTCCTGACCTTTTCCCCCAGAGAGACTAAGCCCTCCCCAGCAGCAGTATCTGGGCAGTTGTCAAATCTGTCCCTCAATCATTGCAATATCTCTGGTCTGGGGGCAGCGGGGGCTGCACTCTACTACCAAATCTGTTCCTCTCTCCAAGCCAGCCCCCCTGCATTCACTCATCCCTGGAGAGAGGGAGATCACTGAAAAATAAAGATTTTCAGTTCCTCGTATATGCCAGTATTGTTCTGAACGCTTTATATATGCTTTGTCTAATTCTCATACCAACCCTATAAGGTGGAATTCTCCCCATCTTCAGATGGACATAGTAAGACATGGAGAGGCAAAGTAATTCTCCCAAGGTCACACATCTACCAAGTGGCCAAGCTGGGTCTGAACCAGTTTTTGGTCATAGCCACTCCACTACTTGTCCCCATTACCCCACCCCGTGAGTCCTAAGTTGGTAGAAGCCCCAGCCTTGGGCTTATTTGAGTCCTGGATACTTTTGACCTTCCCACCCTTCTGGCTGCTAAATTCAGCTGCTTTTTCCTCTTTAGGATCTTGCACACACCCTTCCTCTTTCTTCCTGATGTCTTCCTGGCTGCTCCTCTGACTTCCCTTCCAGAAAGCCACAGCAATATTGTCTCCTCCTGTCCCCACCCCTCAGACTTAGAGGATCTCCTTAAAAGTCTTCTCCCTCACCCGTGGAATCGACCTTCAATGCCCATCTCACCTATCCGGTGGCTTTGGCATGTAGGTGGAGCCTCTCTCCCTCCTTGCCCGTTGCAGCTGGTCCTCAGCGTTGGTCGTGTGCCCAGCTCCATGCCAAGCAATCTGGAGCAAAGGACATCTGGCTGTTCCCCCTGGTTCCTTCCACTCCACACTGGTCCACATCCATTTTCCTCAGTGGGATCCGGTGCACATATTTGAGTTAGTGTCTGCCCTGTCCTGTGGACCATAGTCCAGTAACACTATACCCAGGAGCTTCCTCCAAGTTGTCTTCTTCAGTCCAGGAGCCTGGCATTCTTCCAGAGCTCAGCTCTGTGACCTTCGGCCACCAGATCTTCTGCCACCCAGCCCTGAACTCTTCTTTGTCTCTCCTGGTTGTTCCTGGCTCTGTTGACCCAGCATGCTCCGATCTCTCCTATTCTAAATACCACATTCTCTGAATTCAGCCTGTCCTCCTCATCCTAGCCAAACTTCCCCAAAGAGAAGGAAGTGGCGGCTTCCTTTAGCCCCGCCCACCTCTTGGGCCTTCCCAGGTCTGCCCTCTGCCCTGCTCCACTGATATGCTCCCTTCAAGAGCCCCAGCCGCTTTCTTCCAGTTTGAGCTCTCTGTGGCGTCACTCACTGGGAACTGACCACCCTCTCCTTCCCACTCACCATCCAGTCACATCTGAGGACTCTGCACCTGCCTGGTGCTGTTGTCAACTCTGACCTTCCTTCTCCAGCTTTCCTTACCACCCAGAGTGAGCTCTGGTTACCTCTAGTATCACCTTTAGTGATTGTATCCTCACCTGTGGCATTGGGACGCCCAGTAGACTCTCACCTCCGAGTCTCCTTGTTTTTTTCCAAGATGCAGCCCGAGCTTCTGTCTGCATTTATTTCAGGGCATTCACCCATCAAGCCACTGCCCGGAGCTTAGTGTGGGTGTTGCTGCAGCTCCAGGCTGGGTGGTATGGGGCTGCACAGATGATCATTCTGTGGGCCCCACCCTGGGGAGCCATCCAGGGTCAGGGGAGTGGACACCGATCAACCAGATAATCTTTACTGTCTGGTAGAAAGCAGTCTGTGGCCCAAGTGGCACCATTAGGAAGTCCCCAGGTGCCTGAAACTCCCATTTTAAAACCAAAAGCAAATTCCACATCACCTCCCCGAGCTGACTTGACTTCTTCTTTTAACGGCATCACTGTCTGAGTCTGGGGCTGTAGCTTGGTACTTTAAATGCCCTCACAGCTGCTTTGCCACACGATAGGTGCTCCATAAAGACTCGTGTAGTGAATGCTTAAAAGTCTGTCCTGTCTATTGCTCAGTTCATGAGGGACTTCTGGGGCTTTCTATCCAGACCAGTGCTCCCCACCCCCTGCCCCCCATTCTCCCATACCACCTGGTGCTTCCCTGCATTCCTGTTCTGATTGTGAAGGTTTGTTGAGGTGCTTACCACCCTCCTGAGAGGGAGCTTTGAGGCCCCATCTCTCCAGATCAAAGAGGACCCCTGGTAGGTGTCTGACACACAGCAGACACCAGATAAATAATTATTAAATGAAGAAGGAATGAATCTTTGCCTCTTACTGCCTGCCAAGTTGTAGCCACAGAGTGAAGGCTAGTTGAATACATGACTGAGTGGACTGTAAAAGAATTTGATATATATAAGCTTAGCTTGTCACTGGCCACAGTCAGGCCTGGTCTGATTACGTTTATGGAGATGCTGTTGATTTTTGCTTCCTCCCTGTGGGGCTGTGACCTGGTGCGGAGGCTGCCAGGCTTCCCGTGGAGGGGCTGAGATGTGAGGTCTCCACAGTGTGCCGCAGACACACCTGACGGGCTCCTCAACCACTTCTGAGCCTCCTACTTGGAAAAAAAACCACCCCGAAATGGTGCCGTGTTCTGTCTATTTTGTCCCACAAGCCCTGGGGATCTTTGGAGTGGGATGGCGGGAGGGGTCGGGGGTGGAATTGCAGTCGGGGCTGCCCTTCTGGGTAACAGGTGACCCTGTTGCGGATGGCGGGCTCCGATCTGTCCCCCCGCCCCCCGCGGGGTGCCGGCCAGCCCGCTTAGTCTCGCCTCCCCTGTTCTGTCCGCAGGCTGCCCGGCGCCCCGACGACGAGGCCGCTGAGCCCCGGGCCATGGTCCCGTCTCGCCGGCCGTGGAACCTGGGAGCCACGCCCTCGCTGCGCGGCCTGTGGAGAGTGGGCCGGGCCCGGGAGCCCGAGCCCGGGATGGCTCGCCCCGCCCCCGCCAGCCCGGCCGCCCGCCCTTTCCCACACACCGGCCCGGGGAGGTTGAGAACTGGTGAGTCCGCATTTTTAAAATGCCTCTTTATTTCCCTTCCTTCCTCTAGATAGCAGCGATGAGGCCGGGCTTTCTCGCAAGTTCCTAGGCTCAGTCAGAGCTGTCAGGTAATTACAGGGTGCCCGGCAGCCCGCGGGCCGGCGCGGAGTCGGAGTCGGGGCGTCAATCTCGCCGGCGCTCCTGCCCCGCGCCCGCCTGTAAAGAGAGGTCCAGGACGCCGAGTTAAACTTCAACGCGGTCGCTGGAGTCGGGGGACAACGCCGCCCAAACCACGCGATCTCCGGCCAGCCGGGTCGGGGCGCTGCGCGGGCGGCCGGTCCTTGGTCCTTGGCCGAGCGCTTGCGGTCTCGCTCCGGTTTCTGCCCGCAGCTGGTAAACAAGGTAGGTGAAGTGGCAGCCCGGTGCCTGGCGCGGCACTGACACCTGATCGCGGCCGGCCCGCCCGCGGGGGACGTGAGGAGCGGACCGAAGCCGCGCCGGAGCGTGGCCCCGCGGAGTTTGGGTGCCATGCGCTGGGTTTCAGGTGCCATCTGGGGCGGATCCTGTTGGGGCCCCGACAGCAAGTGGGCAGTGAAGGAGTTTGAGTCTGGACCCCTGCTGCCCCTTGGGGGAGTGTCCTTCTTTCTGGGTCATGTCCCCTGGTGCCTCACACACCAATAAGTGAGCAGCACCTCTGATTTCCAATGCGGACTGGATCATTGGGTCTGGCGCACTGCCCCATGACTGTCTCCTGAGCTGAGCTGGGGCAAGTCATCCTGGAAGTGTGGAGGGACAGAGGGGTCTTCAGTCCAGATGTCTTCAGAGGCTTGCTGTCTGTTGTTCTGACCCCCAGAGGAAGGGGGTTAGATTACCAGCCTGTCTGAACTAGCAAATTCCCTCTGGGCCATCAGATCCAAACCCTCTGATGTACAGAAGGGGAAACTGAGGCCCAGAGAGGGCACACAGCAAACTCCTGTTCAGTTCCCTCTCTCCCACCACATTTGTGCCACTGATGGCAGCCAGAGTGATACTCTCCAGAGTTTCTCTGTAGGGGACGGTGAGGCTGGGGATGGCCCCGGGGGGGGGGGGGTCTCTGGAAAAAGCTTGGGCTCTTGGGTCAGATAGCCTCAATTGTCTGGAAGGGGATGAAGATGTACTCCACAAGGTTGTCCTAAGGATTACAAATATAATATGAATGAGTGTTGCTTTTCTGGTTAAAAAAAAAAAGAAAAAAAGAAAAGAGCAAAAAGAAAACAAGAAGCAAAAGACGAAAACAGGTTCCTTAGAACACTAAAAAAAACCCTTGAAAAATCAAGAACACAGAAGACCCCAGAAAAAGTATAAAAAAGAAAATAAAAATTACCTACAAGATCGTTAGTGAACATTTTATATAGTTCCTTCCAATCTTGTGTATGTGCGCACGCATGCCTATAAATGAGTATTATGAAGATACAGACTTAGCCACTTTGAAAATTTAAGACAAAGGTCAAATGAAATCCTGTGTGTGAAATGCTAAGCAGAGTGCCTGCTACTGAGTAGGGTTCTAGCCAGCTTGGTTCCCCCCCTTCCCTGCCCTCCCCAGCCCCTCTGTCTCCACCCCCACTCTTATCACTACCTTCAGAGGGATAGTCAAACAGAGGGTGGTGGGTCAGCACATGGGACTGGAATACTGGGTCAGCGTGACCCTGGGCATGTTATTAACCCTTCTCAGTTGTGGTCCTGACGGCCTGCATTTGTGGCCACTTTCTGTGTACCTGGCACAGAGTGAGCGTTTTACATGTGTCATTCCGTTTAACCCTCGCCACGGGACTATGAGCTTGGTTCCTTATCCCCATATTCTTGACAAAGAAACTGAGGATCGGGAAGGGCATTAAGGTCTCGGAAGCGCCTGGCCCAGGATATCATTACCCCCCGGCGCGGTGGCTCTGCAGCTTGCCCCTGTGAGGTGCACCCACTTTCCCATCTCATCCCACCTCACGAGCTGTGGTGGGGGGTTGAGGTGGGGTGCATGGGATACCCATACCCCACTCAGCTCTTTCCCCCATCCAGTGAGGGAGGCAGTGTGTCAGAGGCTCAAGGGGATGTGCTTTAGCTGGTCCCGAAGATGCTTTTGGAGGCTGCAGGGACCAGGCCACCCGGTGTGGGGTTGGTCTTTATGAAGGCAGGGGAGAAATTGCCACCTAGAGGCAGCCTTGGTAATAAAACCACAGCCCTGGGGTGCACCTCCTGTGAAGGTTGGCACAGCCAGGTTGGTGTCGGCTTCCCTTTGCTGCTCTCTGTAGAGGGTGTTCATGAACGAGCGCCAGCCCCAAAATCCACTGTGGAGGGCGGGAAGCACCCCTCCTGCCCCGGAGGCCTTGGGTGCCTTCCTGAGGAGAAGCTTGGGGTGGCTTTTGGGAAGAAAGGAGCACAGCCCCTGCCTGGTGCCAGGCCTTCCCTCTGAGTAGGTCAGGCGTGTGAGGGCGTGTGAGTCCCTGCTGGCCGCGCCTGGGCCGGCCCGGAGTGTGGGGAAGCAGAACTCAGCCAGGGCCCTGGCCAGCGGTCTTCAGCCAGGGGCCTAGCATCTTACCCATACTCTCTGTCCCGGAACAGGGCGTGGAAAAGATACCCCAGTCAGCGGTGACGAGGACTCCAGTGCCCGAAGCGCAGCTCGCCCGGCCCTAGCTCAGTGCCGGGCCCTCAGTGTGGACTGGGCCGGCCCTGGGAGCCCCCACAGGCTCTACCTGACCGTGCAGGTAAGCACTGGGGCCTTCGGGAAGGTGAGGGCCCAAGCCAGGCTGATGTGTCTTCGCCCCCTGAGCTCCCAGCAGCGGGGTCCCCAGCAGGCTCTCTGGGGAAGCGAGCACTGAGAGAGAGCCGGGGACCTGCCTTGGTAAGCTTCTCACAGCACGCAGAGCCCTGATGGAGCAGTTTGCTTTACTGGGTTATCTCAGGGAAAATCGCAGAGTAGATGACAGAAAGCTTTCAGCCACACCCTGGCTGAGGCGTTAAAGTGAGAACTGCGGGGCCTTCGCTGAGGAGCTCTTAGGAAAACAGGCAGGTTTTGGGGTAGCCGTTAATTCCTACTCAGCATGTTTGTCCGTGGGGCAATACGTGTATTTCCTATTTAACGTGAGGATCCAAAGCCAGACAGAGGACTTTGCCAAAACTTGGATTCTTTTCTCTCGCAGTTATCACCAACTGACTTTCAAAAGACAAATTTTATATATATTTGTATATTTGGTTGTAGAGATCATACATAATGATAGTAATAATAGCTGCTATTTATGGAACACTGGTTTTGAACCAGGCACCGGTGCCATGTATTATATAGCTCACATTAGTACTCATGGTCCTCGTAACAGTCTCAAGACACAGCTACTGTTTTATTGGAGGTGTATGGATGAAGTAATGGAGGCCCAGAGAGGTTATGTAACTTGCTACTGCTCCCACAGCAAGCGGGGATCTGAATAGCTAAGCATGACGTGCTCGATAACGTATGGTATAAAAGAATTCACACAGGGATATAACATCTCGAAGCTGAATGTTTTTTCCAGTCCTGCATCTTTTGAGAAATCCACTATTAAGAGTTTGGTGTTTGTGTATCTTTCCTATATAATCACTTAATTATGTTTATACAATTTTATTATTTATTTTTACAAATTATTTTGTGACTAGCTCTTTCCCTCGACAGGAAATCTGGTGATTTCTTCATGCATGTCAGTATACAGAGAACTACCCATTCTTTTGAACTGCTTCATAATATTCTACTTCAGGGTTTACCATAGGTTATCTAACTGGTGCTCTGTATTATTTCTGGTTGCAATGAGCTACTTAAATATCGATGCATTCTCACAACTGTGGCTTTGAATAATTTAAGGATGGCACAGGCACTGCACTTTTTAAAAGAATACAGATATTTATGAAGTGCCTCTTCTGTGCCAGGTTCTGCGCTAGGTGCTGGCCCATAACCTAGCGGAGAAATAGACCTGACAGCCTGGCAGCCTGACAGCCTGCCACAAAATAATCAAGTGATCACAAGTGTATGAATGCAAACTGGACAAGGACCATTGACACAGTGATGGAGGATGAATGACCAGAGTCACTTGGGCGGGTTACAAAGCTCCCTGCCCAAGAAAGATTGCACACAAGAGGGCTCACTTTGAAGGGACATGGGCACATGGGGGGCAGGAGGGAGGGGAAACCCAGGTGCCCTTTGAGGGCATATCCTCCCTCATGCAGATGAAAGTCCTGGGCCTGGGCGGCGTGTGGCCCCAAGTCCTGATCTGAATGTGGCCCGAAGCTTGATGTGGCTTCAGGAGCAGTCTTGGGCTTCAAGGCTTTTCTTGGCCCTTCTTGTGTGGTTCATCTGCAAACCGAACCAAACAGTCCTTCTTTTATGTTAAGGTCTGCAAGAAAAGCAGGTCTGGTGTGGGAACAGTTAAAGAAACTGGAGAAGCCATTTGTTTTTCCTCTGAGTTGAGCCATTGGTAGTTAAATCGGGAGGTGGTCAGAAACCGGCTGCCTTGAGTTGGGCGGTGGCTCTGTTCTTGAATTTTGATTATGGGGTGTTGGGTTGTGGTTGCTGCTGAGTCCTGGGGTCAGCAGATCTGCTGAGAATCTGTGAGGAGCTCCTGTAAGCAACCAGTTTCGATGTTGGTGTCCTTCTGGGCCCCCATGAAGCTCCATTGTGTTTATAGTTTGCTTCGAGGACAGGGATGTGGGGCTGAAGGAGGGACCCGGGCACTGTGAGGTGAGCAGGTAGGCTTAGTGAACCTCCCCCCTGCCCCAGCCTCTCAAGTAGTTAAAACCTGAGATGCTCCCTCTGAAGGTGCTGCAGAAATCCCCAACCCCCCCGGCGTCCCAGCTGCCCTTCCTGTGGCTTGGCCACCAGGCCAGAAATAGTGTGACCTTTGCTCTGGTCGGCAATTGGAAACTTCCAGCTGCTGCCATTGCCGCCACCGCTGACAAGCCTGCTCGTGATGGTGTGGCAGTTGGTCAAAGGGTGGGGACAAAATAAAGTCGGGGGGGGGGGGCGGGCGGGAATTTTCCTACATATGAGAGACTGTGCTCGCCACCCTCCCTTCTCAAGTAGAAGGTGAGGTCGAGAGAGAGGGAGTCAGAGACGGTGAACGAGGCTGCTGATGTTGCTCTTTTCCTCTTTTCCATTCTGTTCATTGGATTCGGGGTTACAAAAGTTAAAAAAAAAAAAAGGAAGAGTGCAGAAAAAGTACAATGCTAGTGGCTACCTGATATCGAGCCCTTTCTGTGTGCCAGAGGCTTTGAGTACTTTGCACAGTTCCTGCAGTTCCCCTTCACACCAGTGGCATCAGGGGGCTAGTACTGTTTCTCTTGTAGGAATGGGGGAAATGAAGCTTCAGAGAAGGTGAGTAACTTGCCCAGAGCCACACAGCTCACCTGAGGCGCAGCCATGTTTCACACCCAGCTCTTGCCGACTCTGGACTCAGAACGTTCTTTTAGACAGAACGTTTGTCTTTTGTTTCCAATACAGTGGGCACAAAGACACCAAAAACGTGTCTGTAGGGGCACCCGGCTGGCTCTCAGTCGCATGAGCGTGCAATTCTTGATCTTGGAGTTGTGAGTTCGAGCTCCCTGTTGGGTGTAGATGACTTAAATAAATAAAACTCAAAAAAAAAAAATGTGTCTGTAATGCCCCTTCCCAGATAATTTCTATTGACATTAAAAAAACAAAACAGGACACTGTAGATGGTTATAAGGCTAAAAATGGGTTCAAAGTGAAATGTAAGGACTCTTTGCCCTTTTCCCCCACATTCTCTTAGTTTCTTTTTACTCCCCCAAAAGTTTAAATGATGCACGTTTCTCCTCCTAGTTGCTGCGTCACCTGACCTGCCAGAGACAACCATTGTTTATACAGTTCCCCAGATTTTTTTCAAGGCCTGTTTTATTTCTCTTATCCTCAAATGGGATTGCACTTTGCATGCGGTTCTGCGGCTTGCTTTGGATGTCTTTCTGTGTGAGCTGCAGGTGATCGTCTCCAGATGACTCTTTCTGCCCCTCCCTTCTCTCTCTCCCTGCCTGTCCACCTGTCTGTTCCTCCTTCTTGGCCTCGGTTTCTCCTTGACCAGGAGATGGGGGGCATGGGCTTCCCCTGCTTGTGCAGACTTGTGTGCCCCCTCTTGGCAGTCTCGAGCTGGGGGCAGCTGACATCGCGGGGGGTGTTGCCCTGAGATTGCCGTGTGCCTGGTGGGGCTGGACAGCCCTGCGAATGGTGGGGCTGTGGGCCCGCAGCAAGTAGGCTGCTGCACTGGTGACTCCCGCCCCACAGAGCCTGCAGGGACAGCCCAGTGAGCTTCACCTGAGAACTTCTAAGTGCCCCAGAACCTTCTTTGCCGGTGCAGATAGCTGGCTGCCGAATGGGGGCCAAGAGAATGCACTGCCACTGTCCTGTCGTGGCATCTGGGCACATTTCCTTCCAGACCCCGGGCCTCATTGTCCTCACCCACTCACACAGCGAGGGCTGGGTCCCTGTGCCCGGGATGCTCCCAGCTCCAGGAGCACACCATCCGCAGGCTCAAGGGGGTCCCCTCCCGCCTGTAGTCCCCTTCACGTGAGGATTCTGGTTGTGTCTTGGCAGCAAGCCCTGCTGGACAAGGGGTGCGAGAACAAGAGTCAGGGGACGAAAGAAGAGAAGCTCCTGAAGAGGCAGGCGCCGGGCCCCAGGCGGGACCGGGAGGCCCAGGAAGCTGGTGGCGCCATGAATGTAGAGAAAACAGGTAAAGGAGGTCTGCCCGCCAACCTGGAATAGCCCTCGCTAAAGCTGGCACTGGCAGGGAGGCTGCTGTGGCATTTGGACTGTCCTCACACCCTGTCCTCCTCACCTGGAGGTGGCCCAGCCAATTCCTGGCCACCTTGACGTGGAACTCAGAGACCCCGGCCTGCCCATCCCACTCCAGGGATACCCTCCTCCCACTGCCCGCAGGGCCCCACCAGTGATAAGAGGCTTTGGCCCGTGTGGGCTGGGGTTGAGTTTCCCTGCTTTTTGTCTTTTCCCCAGTGCTTGTCAAAAGCAGGCCAAGGGTGGCAGCCTCAAAGACGCCACGGCCTGTGGAGAGAAGCCTGACCCCATCCCCTTTATCTGTGGATGCGTCAGGGACCCAGAGGCTCTAGGACAGGGCTTTGCTCTGCTCCCTCAAGGCCAGGGTCGAGGAGCCGGTGGCTCCATTCTTCTCTGACCAGGATGACTGGTTCTGGAAGATTCTATGGACCCCCTTTGTGGGGCTTCTCTAGCTCAGGGAAACCTGAGCTCAGTAATTGGGGAAAAAGCATCCTCAGGAGCCCAAAAGGAAGGCCAAGACTGTGTGGAGAAAAAGCAGCTGGTCTTTCCCCTGTTCTCTTCCTCCCGTCACCAGGGGTCGATCTGTGTTTCTGAACTTGCTGTGTGGTGGAAGGAGCCACTCCCTTCTCTGGGGTTGTCCCAGAGCTGCAGCCGCCTGTCTGGTATTCAGGGACAGGTGTTGGGGTCTGGCTGAGGTGTGGGCAGACAGGACTTGGGAAGGGGTGAGCTGTCCAGCCAGTCAGATCGGCTCTCCCAGTTCGTGGAGAAGAGAGAGACCAGTTTCTGTCAAGGGGGTGGACTAAGCCTTGTCAGTGGGGCTGGGGCCAGACTTCCATCTTCCTGAGCGTAAGGCACAGTGAGCAGGCAGGGTCTCTGAGGCATGCTCTCTTTTAAAACTTGCACTGACATCCGACCCACTGAGAGGCATGTGGCCTTCTCAGGGCCAAGTCCCATTCATTCCCTGGCCCCCAAGTGCCTCTTTGACCTCACCTCTCCCTCCCTCCTCTGGCCTTCCCTTAGCTTCTTCAAGGTCTTTTCTCCCCTAGCAAGTGCTCTCTAGGCCCTGTTTCAGCTCCCCTGGCTGTGCCCCTCTGCTGGGGTCAGGATGAACCCCCGTGTGGACTCCAAGGGCATCTCAGAACCTTCCGAGTGTCCTGGACGAGAAGGACTATTCTGTGTCTTGTTCCAGCCCTGTGGTCTGTGGGATGACGCTCACTCACTTCTATGCATCCTTCATGGATCCCAGGCTCCTTTCCCAAGGATGCCTCACTGGGACCATTGTCCCCACTTCACAAAGGAAGACCCCAAGCCCCCCCTCCCCACACCCCCATCTCCCAGGTGGCAGAGCGAGCTCTCAGGCCCTAGAGCCCTGGTGTGTTCCCCACCACACCATGGCAGTCTGCAAAGGGCTGAGGGCCACGCTGGTCACATGCTGCTCATGGCAGCCCCGTGTGCGGGCCTGGAAGCATCCACCTGACCTCACTCTCTCTAGAACAGATAGCAGAAGCTTGGCCAACTGTGTATGATATGCATGCTGTGTCACATGCAGGCCACACTGCCAGGGCCACTAGCCAACCGGTAACTGAGCCTGCTCCAGCTCTCCAGAGGGTCTCGAGTCGAAGCTATTCCAAGGGATTGTGAGGAAGGGAAAAGCCAGCCCATGTGTGCTTTACTTGCCCTCTTGAGAGTGGGGCCCGAGATCCCTCAGGGTCTACCCTCCTGGGAGCAGGGCTGTGACATCCCACCCAGCCCGGAAACTCTATTGTGGCTTCTCTGAAGTCTCAGTGAGCGCACTTGCTGCCTCCCGGTGGGTTGAAGCTGCCAGCAGGGTGCGTGACTTCAGGTGCAGAGTCTGGGGGCCCTCCAGTCCTGCCCCATAGGGCTCTGGCTCCTGGGATGTAGCGTGGGGGAGCCCCGAAGCCTGGCTGCCCTCAGACTGGAGGCTTGGAGACAGCAGGTGCCACTTGTCACACCTTGGACCCTTCTTTCTGCCTCCTGGGGCTTTGGTTGGGTCCCAGTTCAGGCTGCCCAAGGGGAGAGGCAGATCTCCTGCCTTCAGAGCCTCTCCTCTACCCCACTCCTGCACACCCCCTGCTCCCCACCTGCAGAGACCATGAACGTTCTTGGTATCCACCAGGCAAGCTATGACAGGCATCCCAAGCCCTATTGTCACATCGTGGCCCTTGATTCTGTCTTTGTCCTTCTGTCAGTCTGTCTGTTTCTCTCCTGCTCCTGGTGACAGGACAGTGGAAGGCCGTGGGAGGAGGAGGATTCAGGCTGAGGTACCACCCTCTCCCGCTGGTATTTATCACTTTGTTGTGCCTGTGCAGTCCCTGTGCTCAGCGCAGGTATCGGCCCCAGAGCGGGCCTGGCTGTGTTCCTGCTCACATGCTGTGCCTGTCTCTGTGCGTCCTGGTCTGGCTGCCCCTTGCACACGCACACCCTCCCCTTGCCCCTTCTCTGTGTGCAGGTGACCACTCCCTGCAGAGGTCAGGGCACAGGCTGGGGAGCCTCTGCCTCTCTTCTGTACTCTAGAGGGGGGTTGGGGTTTAAAGAAATCACGTTTTCCCCCAAGAATAGTGTTTTCTGGGGAGAGAACCCCGGACTCTTAATCAGCTGTTGCCAGAAGGCATGTCTTTCTCAGCTGCGATTCCTTGCGGCCTGGCCACAGGGAGGGTATCGCCCATCAGACCTCGGACACATACTTTGAAGGGAGTCTAGGGCGAACGTCTCTTGCCTCAGTCCTTATCCAGGCAATTCTGTCTCCCAGAAGCTGCCCGCTGAAGCGGCTTCCTCCAGGGCCTGCCCCGGCCAACCCACGCCGTTGCCGCCCCCAGCCCTCGCCCCGCTGGCTTGCATCCCCTCCCCGTCCCTGACGGTCTGCCGTGCCGTGACGGGCCCCCTCTCCTCATCCAGGGTGGGTCCTCTGCTGTCCTTTCTGATCGGCCACTACTTTGCTCATAGGTGGGCGGCTCTTTGGCAGCGGGAGGTGCTCGAGCCTGGCGGGGCCGCCAGGTGCAGCCCCCATGGTGCATAGGATGGTGGAGGCCATGTCCCAGCTGCAGGAGGAGAAAGCCCGGCTACAGGAGGAGCTGGCAGCCCTACAGGAGAGGCTGGCCCTCCGAGACAGTGACCAGCAAGCCACATCCACCCAGCTGCAGAATCAGGTACCTGGGGAGGATGGGATGGGCAGAGGCCACTCCCCCCCGTGGAGCAGATCAGAGGACACTGCGTGGGCCGCCCGGAACCAACCCACCGGGCGGCCGACGTGATGGACAGATAGGGTCTCCTCTCTCGGCTCAGGAATGCATGAGGGGGCAAGGTGGCAAGAGTCAGAGGCCTGGGTCTCCCATCCTGCTCATCCTTGTGCCCCATTCCTCGTGGTTCCGGGGGGCCAGGACGTGCCTCTCCAGGAGTGACAGGCTGTGTGTGTAGATGTGAGGGAAGCAGGGAGGTACGGGGTCGCTCCCAGCCCTCAGGCCGGTGCCGAGTCCACCCCACCTTATTCGGTGCCTTGGACTGGGCAGTCCAAGTGGACAAAAGTCACTGCAGTGGTCACCCCAGGGAAAACTGGTAGGAAAGGAGAGGCTGATGTGAGTGCCTGTGGGAGGAGAAGCATTCAGACTCTGGAAGCCAGGGAGGGCCTCAGGTTTATGCTGGCGAGTGCTGTCTCCTTCCTCGGCTGGTCAGGACATTCGGGACCTCGGCTGCATGCCCTGTGGGACTGACCGTGGGCCCTCCTTCCCCACCTGCACGTGGACCCCGAGGCCCCTTTCCAGAGGTTCAGCTCCCCACACCCATGGCCAGTGTCTGTCTTTTGTGTCTGTCTGAACTTTCCCACTTCCCCAAGGTCCCCCCACCCTCTCTCTACATCATCTCTGCCTTGGATCTGTGCCCTGAGCTGTGGGCCCAGGACTCTCTGTTGGCGGGCCCGCCTTCAGCTGGAGCCAAGTTCTTACTCTGTGGTTACCCACCATGTGGACCTTTTGCTTGGGGAGACATCACAGAATACTGTGACTTGTTCTCAGTTCCAGGGAGCAGCAGATTCTTTTTATGCATTTTTAATTTTTATTTTTTAAAGAGGGAGGGAGAAAGAGGGAGCAGGGGAGGGGCAGAGAGAGAGTGAAAGAGAATCCTGAGTAGGCTCTATGCTGTCAGCGTGGAGCCTGATGCAGGGCTCGATCTCATGAACCGTGAGATCATGACCTGAGTTGAAATCAAGAGTCAGATGCCTAACCCACTGAGCCACCCAGGCGCCCCTATGCATTTTTTAATGTAGGATTTTTCCCCCAGCTTACGGATGTATCCTCTTCTCCGGAACTATCTGTTCTGACCACTTGTTCCTTGCTGGGTTAGGTGGGCCTCCTTGGGGCATCCCTAGTGCCCTGTGTCTCCTTCATACACTGACCCCGTTGTTTGCTGCCTCTGGGCCTGTCTGCCTCACTCTCAGGGGCTCTTCTAGGCAGAGTGATACACTAGCTTTGTGTCACTGTTGCTTCCTTCGGTGCCCGCCTGCCTCTCTCCCTCAGCTGTTTGCTGAGTGCGCGGTGTGCCCTGGGCACCAGGCTAACCACTGGGGATGTCCTGTGGAGGCTATGGTCTAAGGGAGGACAGACATTTGTTACATGTACCCATGTGAAGTTAGAAGAGCGACAAGGGCTCTGCAGGTGGGTACACACACAGGGCATGAGGGCTTGTACCAGAGGCCTTTGTGAGGGACATCAGGGCCTGGCGGGGAGGTCAGGGACAGCCTCCTTGAGAAAGTGGTGCTGGAGCCAAGGTCTGGCACAAAGCAGAGGAAGGGGGTTCTGAGCTAAGGGAATAGTCTGTGCAAAGGGACTGTGGCAGGAGGAGCAAGATATAGGGGCAGAATCAAAGCTTGGGTAGCCCTGTGGGACTGGGGGCTCGTCCAGGGCCCACCCCACAGGGCACGCCTGGCCCGTGGCAAGAGCTTATCCGCAGCTCTTCCTTCCTTGACCTTCTCCAAGATAGACTGTCCAGGCAGTTAATTTTTGAAATAAGTTTTTTTTTTTAAAGAGGTTTACTGAAATATAACTCACATACCATACAATTCACCCCTTTAAGGTGCACAATTTAAATATATTAAGTATATTGAGATGGTGATACCACCATCACCATCATCCAATGTCAGAACATTTTCATCACCCTAAAAAAGCCTAGTCACCCTCCCTTCCCCCTCCCCCCACAACCCCTGGCAACCGCAGATCTGCTTTCTGTTTGTGTGGACTTGCCTTTCCTGAACATTTCATGTAAATGAAATCATAACCATGTGTGGCTTTTTGTGACTTTAAATGAATTAAAAAAAAAAACCATTTTTTCCCTTTCATTAGCAAAGTTGGCTTACTTTTTAGAGGGGAAGTTGAAGGTGAAGGATCTTGGCCTTTTTGTGGTCTTTGTGCCCCCAGGTCTGCAGATATCCCCAGCCCCTGTCCTCTCCCATCCCCAGCCCCTCTGGATGAATGAGAGAATTCAGAATGGTTCTCCGTCTTTGCTCAGGCTTTATCCTTGAACTTCTGACTGCCAGCTCTTTTCTGAAAACTTCAGGGGGTGCACCTGAAATTCCAGGTCCCTGAGCTACTCTTCGGAAGGTCCGACTCTGTGGAGCTATGTTCAACCACATGGGCCGGGAGCCAGGTTCAAATCCTGACTTTGGACACTACTCAGTTTCAGCTGTGGGACCTTGGGCTGGTTAATTACCACTCTGCGCCTCAGTTTCCTCATCTGTCAAGTGGACATAAAAGCACCTGATGAGATGATCCAGTATTGTGGTTGTTGCTGCCAGCACCGCCATCTTTACTGGGAAGAGTTTTGGATTTGGAACCACACAAACAGGGTTCTAGTCCTGGCTGTGCCACTCGCTAGCTGTGCGGCGGTAGGAAGTGACTTCCTCTCCGAGCCTTCATTTACCATTCTCTAAACTGGGACTAATCAATGTTGCTTCATGGTTATTGGACAGATCAATTGTGAGATTGGACAGAAAAATGGGTGATAAACTGTGAAGTGCTATTGCCTCGTGAGGTATCACTTCTGTGTGCTCTGGTCTTCTGTCTGCCTCACTGTGGTTTGACACAGATTGACCTTCCTCCTCCTCTAAGAAGAAAAGCCCATCAGTGGGGGACACTCTGCCTCACTGCCATGGTGCCTTATTCCCAACCTTTTCCAGACTTGCCTTCTGGGTGTGGCTCTTCCTGAAAGGCAGGGTAGCCTAGTAGTTGAGTTTGAGGGCCCTGTAGTGGGGGTGGTCACTCAGACCCAAGTTTAATCCTAGGTCCACCACTTAGTGGTCAGGTGACCTTGAGCAAGCTGCTTAACTAAGGCTTTCACCTCACCCCACCCCACTCTGAACCATGTCAGAGTTCTCGGTCAGACTTGAAAACACTTTAAACCAAGTCCTTGGCAACCTCCAAATTATCCTTGGTGACCCTGATATCCCTGTGGCCATAATCTTGGGACCAAAAGGGCATATAAAAAAGCCACCTTAACTAAGGCTTAATCTCTTGGAATCTCAATTTCTCTTCCTGTAAAGTGGGGATGATAATAGTGTCTACCTCACAGAATTGGGGATTCGAAGTGATGATCTCAGGAAGTCCTGTACCATGCTGGCAAACTGACTCAGGAAATGGGGCTGCCATTATCACTGTTGGAACCTGGGCTTGTGGGGGCGGTGGGAGTCTTTTGAGGCTTATGCACTGATAAGTGTCAGATGGCGATAGCTGTATTTACCAGGAGCCCACCGTGCTCCTTGTGGGGAGCACACGGGCCCAGGTCCTCGGTGCTCAGGAGGACCCAAGCCACAGAGGCCACTGGTCTTGGTCTGGCAACAGGAGAGAGACCGTGGCTGGTCTGGATGACCCTCCCTGATGTTGGCAACTATAGCCCTGGGCCACATGCTATAGCTCCCCTCCCCTTTTGTGGATGTGCCTGGAGCAGTGGCCTCCACACTCCCAAGGCCCTGCCAGTGTTACACGTTCCCAGACTGGCCACACCCCCCCACCTTAATTCCCCTGAACCTCCAGATAGAAGCTTAAAAAACTGCTCAGAGACCACAGGCTGGTAGACTAGATCAAGCCTTCAAGTGTGTCTGATTTGTTTGGCTTTTTTTTCTTTTTAACCATTAAAAAATTGTGGTAGAATACGCACAACAGAAAATTTATCACTTTAACCATTTATTTATTTATTTATTTAATTTTATTTTTTAAATTTACGTCCAAATTAGTTAGCATATAGTGCAACAATGACTTTAGGAGCAGATTCCTTAATGCTCCTTACCCATTTAGCCCATCCCTCATCCCACACCCCCTCCAGTAACCCTCTGTTTGTTCTCCACATTTAAGAGTCTCTTATGTTTTGTCCCCCTCCCTGTTTTTATATTATATTTGCTTCCCTTCACTTGTGTTCATCTGTTCTGTGTATTAAAGTCCTCATGAGTGAAGTCATATGATACTTGTCTTTCTCTGACTAATTTCAATTAACATAATACCTTCTAGTTCCATCCATGTAGTTGCAAATGGCAAGATTTCATTCTTTTTGATTGCCTATGGACATTTGGGCTCTTTACATATTTTGGCTATTGTTGACAGTGCTGATATAAACATTGGGGTGCATGTGTCCCTTTGGAAAAGCATACCTGTATCCCTTGGATAAATATCTAGTAGTGCAATTGCTGGGTCATAGGGTAGTTCTATTTTTAATTTTTTGAGGAACCTCTATACTGTTTTCCAGAGTGGCTGCACCAAGTTGCCTTCCCACCAACAATGCAAAAGACATTCTCTTTCTCTGCATCCTTGCCAACATCTGTTGTTGCCTGAGTTGTTAATGTTAGCCATTCTGACAGGTGTGAGGTGGTAACTCATTGTGGTTTTCATTTGTATTTCCCTGATGATGAGTGATGTTGAGCATTTTTTCATATGTCAGTTGGCCATCTGGATGTCTGCTTTGGAGAAGTGTCTGTTCATGTCTTTTGCCCATTTCTTCACTGGATTATTTGTTTTTGGGGTGTTGAGTTTGATAAGTTATAGATTTTGGATACTAACCCTTTATCTGATATGTCGTTTGCAAATATCTTCTCCCATTCTGTCAGTTGCCTTTTAGTTTTGCTGATTGTTTCCTTCACTGTCTGGAAGCTTTTTATTTTGATGAGGTCCCA